TGGTCACTCCTGCTGACCAGTAGTGGGACCTCTCATCTCTTCCACCGCAAGAGCTCCCTAACTGACTTCCCACTCACCCATCTTGCGCAGCCTTACACGCTTAATGACTCCTCTGATGAAAAACTCAACAGGCCTCCACTGCTGGAGCGCAAAATTCGCCGTGGCATCTCCACACCTCCCCCTCACGCTCCATCAACCTGTGCAGCATAGTTCTCTCTCCCAGCTCCGGGACCCAAGCTCCCAGCCATTTGCCCCGCATTTCCTCATCTCCACACCTTTGCCAGGACCACCATTGTCTCATCTTGGAGAGAAAGTACACAAACCTTCCTGCTCTGCTCTGACAAAATTAGTTTTATCCTACCCGCACCCCAAAGTAATTTTCCTTATAAGCTTATCACTACATTTTTCATATTATGGTTAAGATATGATATCTTTGATGCTTAGACAAGCATTCCATTCCTCCATCCAATTAATATGTGCGTCTACGGTGCCAGGCACTATGCTAGGCGCCGGGTTTACAGCAGTAAACGGAGGGTTCCTATCCTCAAGGAGCTCACCCTCTAACACGGATTGCGGACTGTAAACAAGGGCAGATGACTGTAATAACGGTCTCTGAAAAGCCAGGAGCTGTCTGGCGCGCAAATGAAAACAAGTTTCTGGAAACCCTGCGTCAAACGCGGCCTTTTGGTTTCAGCGAAGAGAAAAGGCGAGAGCGCATGAGACATCATCTGGTGCGCAGGCTTGGCTGAGCATCCCCACCAAGGGACACGCACCCTTCAGGGAAAGTCGCTCTCCTCGCTGCCCTCACCTGGCCCCAGCCCAGGCCCCCCACTAGCGGCTCCAGCTCTGGGTCAGCAGCATCACCTCCCATTTAGCAAGGACGCACAGGCGCCCTGCGGCCGACAGCCAGCCCTCCCGGCCCGGCGCACCCACCCACGTCCTCGGGGTGCCGCGCCCCACAGCCCGACCGTTTCCAGCTCGGGCGCGCGCCCAAACGTCGGGGCTGCAGAAGGCGGGTCCGAGGCGCTTCCCCGGCTCCCCGCGGCCCCCGCCCAGCCCGCCCCGCGAGCCCCGCAACTTCCCGCCCCGGGCCGCAGGTGGTAACCGCGCCCAGGCCCCGCGCCGCGCTCACCCCCAGGCGGGGGGGCGCCTCCCGCGTGCTCAGCACCGGCAGACCCGGCGGCGGCTCCGCCGCCCCCAGCGCCGGGGCCCCGGCGATCTGAGAGTCCATGCCCAACGGCCCGCAGCTCGGCGCCCCGGACGCCGCTCGGCCACGTGACACGCCGGCCTGGCTGCCAGCCGGAGGATACGCCGCGGAGGGCCAATCAGCCGGGGGTGCTCCCGGCCGGGGGGCGGGGCGCGGGGGTCACGAGGAAGCCGGGGCCGGGGCAAGGGGCGGGACGGAGCACGGGGCGGAGCGCGCCCGACTGCGAAAGTCCCCCTCCCTACCTACCGGTCCCGGAATCTGATTTTTGTAGCTCCTGACGATGCAGATCCTAGGGCTAGACGACTAGCTGGGTCTGGAATGCCAAGTGTTATCCCTACGCCACCACACTGCGCATGCTTCCGCTTCATAAACTGTTAGAATAGTTGATTACCCGCGTCTACCTGATAGTGTATAAAACTCAGCTCTCAAAACTTTTCATGCAACTGTAGCTCTAACCCCATTTCACTCTTTAAACAGGTTTCTCTAGAACTCGGTCTGGAATTAAGACTATAACTCACCCGCAAATGGATGAGACAACTCAGGAGCGCAGGATTCCCCACCTTGAGTTAATGTCAGTTCTTAAAGTTAACCCATTAGTAACCAGGTTGGATGATCAAAACAAACTCTTCCAACGTTCCAGACACCCTATGGGCTATGACAATTGGTCATAGTAACCCTAAACATTCTGTGCTGGGCCGGTACAGTCTCACCTGGGCGCCGATACCAGCAGAGGTTAGGCAGTGCCTGGGCTGGGGATAAACCAAACTCTAAAGACAGCTTTCCCTGCCCTTCCCGGCACTGTCTGAACCCCAATAACAAATCTGCTCAAGTTGTGATAATGTTAACCTTTAAATAGCAGAAAAGCAGGAAGCTGGGAGTCCTTGCTCACCAGGCCACCTTATGACAATCTGAGACATTAGCCTATCCGTTCATCTCCCTCAAAGAGTGTGTTTATACATACACATTTGAAAAAATTTAGCCTAACAGTTCATACATTTTTTTCTCTATGTAGACTTCCCTACAAGGAAGAGAATGTGACCAATCAATGTATGTTCTGTTCTGACCCATGAGTTATAGTTTCCCCAAATCTAACTGGACCTAGGTCAAGTGTCCAATAGAAACTTATTTGTTGTGGAAATAAAAATTCTGTTATCTGTGATGTTCAGTATGGTAACCATGCAGCTGGTTGTAAACAAGAAACTGAATTATCTAATTTCAATACATTTAAGTTCCCACACGTGGCTGGAAGCCACTAACAGGGCAGCTCTGGGTCAACTGGCTACATGCATTTTCATTACCTGCAGTGGTTAGAACCGGGTACAGGGTGTGATGACCCAAGGGCGACCCACCTTCACAGCCTTGCTTTAAGGCAGAGGTCCCCAACCCCCGGGCCACAGACCAGTTATCAGTCCGTGGCCTGTTAGGAACCGGGCCACATAGCAGGAGGTGAGCAGCGGGCCAGTGAGCGAAGCTTCACCTGTGTTTACAGCCGCTCCCCATCGCTCGCATTACCACCTAAGCTCCACCTCCTGTCAGAGCAGCAGTGGCATTAGATCCTCATAGGAACCTACTGTGAACTGCGCATGCGAGGGATCTAGGTTGTGCGCTCCTTAGGAGAATCCAATGCCTGATGATCTGAGGTGGAGCGGAGGTGGTGATGCTAGCGCTGGGCAGCGGCTGCAAATACGATTATCATTAGCAGAGAGGTTTGACTGCACAGAGACCGTAATAAATCAGTTGCTTGCAGGCTCATATCAAAACCCCATCAGTGAGTGGCAAATGACAAGCTGCATCTTACGGAGTAGACTGCACATAAGCCACACACTTCGCGTGTCACTGTCTCCCATCACCCCCTGATGGGACCATCTAGTTGTAGGAAAACAAGCTCAGGGATCCCACTGATTCGGCATTATGGTGAGTTGCGTAATTATTTCATTATATATTACAATGTAATAATAATAAAGTGCACAATAAATGTAATGCACTTGAATCATCCCCAAACCACCCTCCCGCCCCCGTCCATGGAAGAACTGTCTTCCACAAAACCAGTCCCTGGTGCCAAAGAGGCTGGGGACTGCTGCTTTAAGGAATCACCCACCACCCTCTTTACTCTCATCTCTTATGTGCAACGTGTATCTCTTTCCTAAAATAAAAAAGCCCTTTAAGGATTTAAATGTTGAACTTCCTGGGACTTAACGGAGAGGAGAAAGGAGATTTTTCTTATTTTAAAACAAATGACACACACACACCATTTTGGGTACAAAAGCTCATAATAAAGATGCCCTAAAATAGACTCTAATATTCATAGGAATTTAATATATAATAAAGGTAGTATTACAAATCAGCAGAGACAAAAATGGCTACAAACAGTGTTGTGGAAAATTTAGTTAACTGCATGGGGGAAAAAATACTGAGTTGTCCTCAGCAAGAGGCAGGGTTTTCAACAATAGAAATCATACATACAAAACCTCTGGACCTCAAAAAACACCACAAAAAAAAAAAGCTGGGGGCAAATTATTTGCAAAAAAGAAGAGACGAACTAAAGATTACTATTCTTAGTACATAAAAAACTCTTATAAATTAAAAAAAAAAAAAAAAAGGTCAAAAAATAGTCAAACATGAAAAGACATGAGCCAGGAAAAATGCATTAACTGCACTGATATCAAAGAAATGCACATTAAAACAAGGATATATCACTTTTCACCTATTAAAATGGTAAAAAATAAGAAATATAATACCCACAGTGCTTGAAAGTATTTTCATACATTGCAAATTGGCAACACTTATCAATATTCTTTAAAACAGTTATATCCCTTAATACAGCAATTCTACTGTCAGATGTCAGTCTCCTAAAGAAATAACCAGGGATGTTAACAAAGATTTACAAGAATCTTCACCAACAGTACTTACAAGAAAAAATTAGAAATGACAAGGTCCAACCATAGGGGATTAGTAAAATAAGTCATGCCTCATCTATACAATGGAATGTTCTCAATTCATTAAATCTTTTTAAGGCTATTTAATGACATGGGGAAAAAAACCATAATATTAAGTGAAACATAATAGTAAGTAAAGCTGAACTGAATGCTTCTCCCAGTGACAGCATCATAATGTGAAGTTACAGGATGTACAATTCAAATAACTGCCTCCCCTGCTCCCAGAACGCCCTTCTCTACTCCAAGCCATCCTCCATCCTCGCCTCTGAAGCCCTTCTCTTTCTATGTTACTCCCTACCCCTGCCCTTCTTTTGTTGCTGGGCCTCCCCAATGTAAACATTTCTCTGCAGATCGGTCCCAGAGATAGAACACACTTTTATAATCGCTTAAATCTTCTTAAAGGACAACTTTTCCCCCAATACCCAGCATCCTTCTCTGCTGCTTCAACCAACTCAGGACATCCAGCTCTGTTCCTCCAACCCTTACCTCCATCCCAAAAAGCTTCTCCTCTTTCCTGCCTATGACGGGCACTCAATGAATGAATGAATGAGTAAATGATCTAACAGTATAAATTCAATTCTAATAAAGGAAATCAAATTAGTGATTTTAGTCCAGATGATAAAATTACAGAACGCTTTTATTTTCTTTTCCACATTATTCTATTCCGCCCATATTTTCGACAACAAATGCATACCACATATACTTTTTTTTTTTTTTTTTTTTGCGGTACGCGGGCCTCTCACTGTCGTGGCCTCTCCCGTTGCTGAGCACAGGCTCCGGACGCGCAGGCTCAGCGGCCATGGGTCACGGGCCCAGCCGCTCCGCGGCATGTGGGCTCTTCCCGGACCGGGGCACGAACCCGTGTCCCCTGCATCGGCAGGCGGACTCTCAACCACTGCACCACCAGGGAAGCCCCCACATATACTTTTATAATAAAGAGAAAATAAACAAACAGAACTGTACTTTCCTCTCTATCTTAACTGACCCCTGGGTCTAGATTAGAGATACTCAAGTTCGACCGGTGGTAATAAAAGAAGATCAGTGATACGATTTCCATGTATTTTGGAAAACATTTAGGACCTATGGTAGGTCTGGCCTCAACAATTGGCCTCTGGCCACTAAACAGCAGTTCTCTTTTCTGGAATTAAAGATTAGCGCATTAACAAAATTAAAGCATGTCTCAAAATCAGACACCATCTCGTCTGCCATCTCAGCAAACTGCAGGTGAATGCATAATACAAAACCACGCAGAGGGCTTACAACACTATTTCACAAAGTTGGCTGCGTTCTTCCTCTTTTCACAGCTGGCCGGCCTGGTGCACAGCATGTTTAGCTACAAACAGCTCTGCTGACTCTCCCTGCAACATTTTCATGGCTCGCCAGTAGATCTGTCCGCAGTGCTCAGGTCTACCAAGGGGGTGGTTCAATTCTTCTTTGATGTAATCCATCCAAAGATCTTTAAAGGGAACCCCAAAAATTACTGTAAACATACAATTAGGTAACTGACAAGGCTTTATTACATAAACTTAATTATTTAATATCAATTCAATGCAAGATTTCTAAGAAACTTAATAACTTCTTGCTGTTATTTTCCTAGAACCCTATGGAAAACCTATGGAATACCTCTCTCAGCTTCTTTACACTACGGTATTTCAAAGCCTTGTTTTTTTTTTTTTTTTTTTAAAGTAGAAATCTTCACTTGGATCGTGACAGTCTAGTGCCCTCACCTTCTGACACAGCCCACATTCTACTACAGAATGTGTATCTCTCAAGAAAACTGCTTTCACTTTAAAAAGAAAGAATCATGACAGTCTATATATTTCATAAACTCAAAAATACTAAATATTGTAGAGGGAGGATTTTGCTGAGTCTCTTTCAAGGTGAAACAGACCTCAATGAGTTCATTAGGACCTTGTCAGTCTGCTTAATAAAACTTGCTTGGGTTAGTAAAAATGCCATATTCATTCATTTCACCGGAAGGTCTGCTGAAACCTTGAAAAAGCTAATGTATTGTTTTAAATCTGAGTTTAACAACTCTACATGTCAGTTTTTGAGTTCACAAGTTAACAGACTTTACATGACTTAACCTATACCAAGAAGTATGTTTTACAAGTCCTATAAATTAGATACAATGTGGCAACAGCCCATGACAATCTTTGTCAATTAGTATCCCACTACCCTTCTGCTGTAATTCCCACCCCATTTTGTTCTGACCTGCATTATTAACCTTTTCCTTACAAATATCACATTTTTCAAGGAAACCAAACCAAACGAATCTCCTTCTAGTCCAGAGTTCTTAACAGAAGACCCATGGATAGCTGGGCTTGTGAACTTGAAATTATAAGCAAAATTATGTCTGCCAGCATTTATGCACTGAGTGAGGGAGGAGGCAGGGGAAGGATGCCAAGTTTTATCCTCAAAGAGGCCCATGACCCCAAAGCAGTTAAGAACCACTATTCTAACCATCATAGGTTACAGACCACACATGCAAACAGACCCACGTGTCTATAACTGAAGTTTACTTACCAGAATCTACAGATCCAAATTCTCTCAAAGCTCTCTCATAATATTCTCTTAAGTTCGCCATCTTGCAGGATTCCTAACAAAAATAATCAGACAATCTTGCCTCAAAAGCCTAATTTATAACGTCACAAATTCATTTCACACGTATTGTTACGCAGCTATCAACTATTAGGCATTTGAAGGGGAGGAGAGACAGGTTTAAATGAACACAGCCTGACTCTGAACCTATCCAGAGAAAAGTCAAAGACACTACATGGCAGAGTGAAGTAAACGCCAAACAGTGATAAAAGCACTTTGTTTTGGTGGCAAGGAAAAAGCCTAATTAATTCTCACCTGGGGGAACATGGGCACCTCCACGGGAAAATATATGTGAAAGCCCTGAGGGAGGAGCAGGATTTAAATAAATAAATGGGGAAGGTTCTACTCCCTATGGTAAGGGATTTCTTCCTTTGAATGTCTGGGCTCTAGCACATGTTAGCCATACCCACCTTAAAACTTTTTATATCAAGGCAAAATATATATAAATACTACTTATATGAACTTCAGGAAGTTTTCTGAACCCATCAGACAGACCTTAAAGTTTCCTCACCCATAAAATGAGGACAATAATATCTCTTCGGACAACTACAAGGATTCAATTAAAATGCTGATGAATTATGCACCAAGCAGAGTAGACAGTGCTAACTTTACAATCAATACATGTTAATTCTTCACCTCTACTTCCATTTAAACTATTCTCTTTGTTTCATTTTCAAAGCAGATTAATTAACATCTTCAGTTTAAAAATCTTTCTGTGTAGTCAAGTAACTATTTCCTCATTCCAATTTCTCTTCGCTGAGACTGTACTACTTTATAAAACGCCAGTTTAACCTCACATCTTACACATGCATGAAAAACAGAACCACACTTTGTGAAGGGCTCATAGTGTGCATGGAACTGTGCAAAGTCCTTTCCATCCAGTCTCCCATTTGGCCTTGTAACCCTCACACCCCTGGAACAGGTATTCCGACCTCCTTTACAGATAAGGATGTCGAAGCTTAGAATTAAGTGACCTGCCCAAGGCACATAACCATTGTGTTATTAATCCAAAGCCTGGCTATGAATTATTACGCTAGACTAAGTCCTATACTGTAAGACAAGAACAGATCACTGACCCACACAATGGTCAAATCTATGAAAATAAGAGTTCAACCTCATTGTTACTTTTTCAAAATTCAAATAAAAATAATAAACACCAATCCCTGGACTTCCCTGGTGGTCCAGTGGTTAAAACTCCATGCTCCCACTGCAGGGGGCATGGGTTCAATCCCTGGTCGAGGAAGTTCTGCATGCCGTGCAGTGTGGCAAATAAAAAAAGTAAACAAATAAACACCAATCAAAATACCAAAATAAAAGAGAGAAGGCGAAACTGAACACTTGGAGAAGGTATGGAGGAAACAGGTATACTGATATATATACATGGTGATTATCACCATAAATAAGTATAACTTTTATAGAACTATCTGGCAATATGTAAAGAACCATTTAAAAAGCCAGTATAGGGACTTCCCTGGTGGTCTAGTGTTTAAGAATCTGCCTGCCAGTGCAGGGGACACAGGTTGGAGCCCTGGTCCCAGAAGATCGCACATGCCGCGGAGCAACTAAGCCCGTGTGCCACAACTACTGAGCCTGCGCTCTAGAGCCCATGAGCCACAACTACTGAGCTCGCGTGCCACAATTACGGAAGCCCATGCGCCTAGAGACCGTGCTCCGCAACAAGAGAAGCCACCGCGATGAAAAGCCCGTGCACCGCAACGAAGAGTAGCCCCCGCTCGCTGCAACTAGAGAAAGCCCACGCACAGCAATGGAGACCCAACGAAGCCAAAATAAATAATAAATAAATAAATAAACTTATTTAAAAAAAAACAAAAAAGCCAGTATCTCCAGTCCTCAAAAGAGAAGGAAAAAAAAAAACTATATAAGCAAAATGCTTGCAGCGCTGTTTTCAATATCAAAAATCTAGAAACAAACCTAAACGTAATGGAATGGTTAAGAAAACTACAGGTTTAAGAATAATACAACAACCATTAAAAATGATGCCAGGTAAAAACACAAGAATGTGTTTACAAAATGATGTTAAGGAAAAAACAGTGAGAACCTCCACATGTCACGTAAGTCAGAAATAAAACATCATAAAACTGTGCATATGTATGTAAATAAGGATTAAAGAAAACAACAAAAATAAAAATAAATATGATCGGTTGTGTTATTGCGAGGGGATTACAGATATATTTGGACTTTCATGTATAATTTTTTTTAACTGACACTTTCCTGTATTTTTTCTCACTCACAAGTTCAGTTAAAGAACACCAGAAACAGTTACGAGTGCCTACTCTCTACCTCACAACCCAAAACAAGAGACAGACGGGGCACTGGAGGCAGAAAAGCAGCACCTCACACAGCCTGGCAGGGAGGACTTCCTGTAAGAGGTGACATCTGAGTTGTCTAGTTTCCAGACATGTACCTTTTCTTCTTTGCTTACCATTCCTAAAGCCACATCTATGAAAAAGGGGTTGGAGGAAGGGACCAGAAATTATACTGTATTATAAGGACAGCTTTTTAAATAACAAAGTGCTACCATAGATTAGTTAGCACTAATCCACATTCCCAGACAAAAAATGCATAGACAGGACACTTACTTGCTCCTTTTCAAACTGGATCATCTTCCTGAAAAAATCAACTGAAAATGGACGGCTTTCCTGTAAACTAAAAAGGAACAGGGGGAACCGTTATCTTCCACGGTGAAGAAAGCCTCTTACATCGCATGAATATAAACACCTGCGCCAGTGCCTCCGCCACACGTAGCTGGATAAAGTCCTGGCTGCAGTTCAGCATGGCGACTGGACCTGGCTACCAGTCACTCACCATTTTCAATCTCCAGTGCCTTTACTCTTCACCACCACCAAACACCTACCCAGTTCTCTTCCTGTTCCCTTCTTTCTCACTCTCAGGGTTTTAAGTTCCCTCTCCTTCATCTCAAGGTCTTTTTGAAGGAGACCAAGAACTCCATTTCTAAGAATATATTCTAAGAAAATAATTTCCAATACGGACAAATAATATTTGTGCACAAAGGTTCATCAAAGCAGTTACTGTGGCCAAATAAATCATGGCACGTCCACAGGGTGGTATATCATATAGTTGTTTTTAATAAATGTTATTTATGAAGAATTGTAACTGGTAGGAAAAAGTCCAGTCTCATGTTCATCAATAAAAGTGGTACACCACGTGCGATTATAGCATAATCTCAGACATGTGAAAAACAAATTTTAAAATGATACATTAGGATGGTTTTTCTCTTGATGATAGGATTACAATGAATTATTAGTTACCTCTCTCTCTCTTTTTTTTAAATTTTCCACAATGGGTATGAACTTAACAGTCCTTGGATTTATTCCTCCATCTATTTGTGATTCATATAATCTGGGTACGAGGGGCTGAGAAGGGAGTTGAGAGACTCATAATAGCTATGTGTGTCTGTGAGTACCTTTTAAACACAGCTCTGGCCTTTTTGTAGCCACCACTTCGATAAGCCCAATCCAGGTACTTATCCTTCAGAGTGACTGAGTCGCCACCCGTGACAGCTAAGACAGCTTTCTAAAATTTAAAAGAAAAGAGAAACAAGCTACATGAGGAAATGTCTACATATCAAAACAAATTTTTCCAAAACCATCCCCGGCCATGCAATGAATAGCTGCTTTAAAACGAGCACCTGCTTTACAAATAACCCTTTGAAAGCTAGCCAACTAGCAGGGCTATCTGCTCATTCCCCACACACAAGACTTACAACAGGGGGCCTGTACCTTAAAGATTGCTTCAGTGTCTTCTTGGCTTTTGGCACCTTCACTCCACTCTGCCCAAGAAATCCACAATGGCAGACAAATCTGCTCACAATTTAAAAAAAAAAAAAAAAAAAAAGGTTAGAAAATGACATCTTAGCACTATGCTCTGAAAACTCGTCACTATAAAGACAGGTTCCTCCTGAGATAATCAATATGTGCAATACAGAGTCATTCCCAGTCTGCCCCACTGTACAGAACTCTCAGTACCACTCTCAGGAATGGTACACCGGAACACAGACAGCCTTCAGACCCAGTCGCCCAAAGCAATACTCTCCTGTTAATTCTACTTCCCCCTGTTGGGGAATACTGCCTAAAGTTATTATCATCAATTACCAGTAAGTTAAGCACTTAACAACCCCAAACTAGTCAGACCCAAGCTACCCAGGTCACGTCTCTGCTGTGTAGGACCACAACACAAGTGCTAACTAATCTAGGCTGAACTATCTAGCCTTTGTTCATGTCCCAGCAGCACATACAAATGAGCGGTAAAATAATTATGATTTTTTCCCCCTATTTTAACTCCTGGAATATCTTTTTCCTACTAGTATAAAAGATTCACTGCAAAGCTTTAAGGTTTAGTCTTTTAAACTTTAAAGTTTAGAAATAATATTCTATTAGTATTTCTCACTTATAAGATATATAAACAGGAATAGAAAAGTTTACGTAATTTAGTCGACTTTCAAATAATGAATTAGAAATAGGCTGGTAAATGGAAGTAATTCTTCCACCCATGATCCCTGAACCATCATCACATATGCCCTCTGGGGCCAGCTTTCCTTAGACAAGTCTACTCCAAATGAGCTTTGGCTGCAGTCTTAAAAGGTTTCCCAAACAGAATGAAATACAAAAGACACAACTCACAGACCTGGGGTTTCAGGTGCACAAAGGCTTCTTCAAAAAGCATGGCTACGTCAGGGCTCTTTGAGGCAATCAGCACCTGCAGCTTCACCTGCCACATCATCACGGAGCCTCTGAACAATTCCATCCCGGCTCCTGCCACCTCCAGAGCTTCTGTAAGGAAGTCATGTTGCAGCAACAACTCGCTCTGGATAAGACAAAGGGTCATTGGAAAAGTATCTACTGAGAGCTACATTATCTATGGAAATGGGGACAAATAAAGACCTCATGCGAGGCAATAGATTCAACAGCCTTTCTTCTAAACCTTTCACCATGGTGCCCAAACAGGCACAAAGTAAAAAATCTGGAATTTCTCCTCCATTCCCTGCTCCTATCCCCAAGGGCTATCAAAAAAACATAAGTGAAAAATAAAAAAAAAACATAAGTGAAAAGCAGATGGCCTAAATAATTTAGGTTGAAAGTTATATTTTTAATAAAATAGTTCACTATAATAAAACCCACATCCACCACCAGTATTTGTGGGATGGTAAAGAAACAAGTTTATTCATTCAAAAAGAGTTGGGCACACTATAAACTGGTACCCATTTTTCTGAAAAGAGTCATGAGACTGTTCATGCCACAAACTTGGGAATTTTACTTTAACAAATATGACCCAACAAATAAATGAACAGGAGGAAATATCTGTTTAAAAATGCTTCTGTCCACACTACTGTAACAGGGAAAGAAAAACCTAAAACCAATCCAATTCTACAAAGTTGTGAAAAAGCAAGTAAATGGCAGTATATAATGCATTCATTCAGCAAGCATGTTAATTGCATGCTATACAGTCTAGACTCAATAATGAGGAGGTCAGGTGCATTCCCTACTGCCCACAGCGCCTCCAATTTAGCAGAGAGGCTGATACGTACCATCACAGAAAAAGAATCATATGCTACAGGAGTACAAAGCAGAAGCAGCCAACAGAATCTTTGGCAGTGATGAGAAAGGACTCCCAGAAAGGAAGCCCCATCTATGCTGAGACTTAAGGAAGAACAGGCATTAGGTGAAAGCAGAGATCCCCAGGAAAAAGAGAAGACTCTCCCACCAGCATGTGCAAGAAGCTGAAGATGACAGAAAGCTTGGATCCGAAAGGAAATCCAAGTTCAGAATGCCAAAAGAAACTAATAATGGAAAGAGAGCAGGACTGCCAAGGCACTCTAAGCCACGCCCAGCTGAATTTACAGGGTGGGACGGACTGTCCTGCCAGCAGCATTCAGTAGCTCCAACAGAGCAGCTGAACTCATCAGGCCTGGGATTTTTCACAGATAGGTTCCATAATGGAAGAAGGGTACCCAGTCGTGGTACAATACAATACGCTACTAATATATATCAATAGTTTATGTCGATCTACGTATAAAGTATAGAAAAAATGTAAATGTAAAAACAGTACAACACAGTACAAAACAGCAAGACATTAACTGCAATTACATAAAAATTGTGTAAATTATATAAATCAAAAGAGGTTAAGAGTTATACAAATAAAAGGCATTCAATAAGTATAAAGATTTTTGTCCTTTTTTTTCCACTAAGAAAGTATTTAAATACATTAACACATTCACCATCTCATGGAATGCTATCAACAACTTTGTGAGGTGGCAAAAACAAGGATCACTATCATTATTCTAAAATCAAGTAAACCAACTCAGAAGGGTTAAGTGGTTTGCCCATTACCTACCTATTAAGTCACAAAACCCAGTCTAGACCTGTGTATTCCCACACTACATTATTCTGGTCTCTATATAATAATCCTTACCCACTTCAGAGTATAAGGATGGGTTAATATGCCTCTTACTAGAATGTCAGCTTCTAAAACACTGAACACATCTAATTTGTCTTTATTGTACCAGCGGTTAATCTAAGCCAAGCGTAGGTTCAGGAAAACATGAATGGATGGACAAACAAAATACACCCAGTTGTGACTCTGTTCTGCGTGTTTTCCACTATATATTACAATATTCCTCCCTCTACTGGTACAGATTTCATTTCTGGCACACACTAAATACTGACAGCCAAATAATAAACACTCTCTACCTCTACCATGCCAATCTTCCAAATGTGCTTAGTCATAAAACTATATATATTAAAACACATGACACCAGCCTGAACCAACCAGAATTAAGTACATGTAATTGACACTGAATGTGTCCAGGTCCTTACCCACTGCTTGTACTGGAATTCTGATAGAAGTTTGAGATCATGTGCCTTCCTGAATGCAACCATGGTTCTTTCCAGCCTCTGAAATCAGAAAAACATCTCTCAGTTCATCACAAAGCTCCCAGCAGGGGTCTTTGGCCTCTGACAGGAACGAAAGCAGTTTTACACCTTTCTGAGAATTGAAAGAAGGGACAGAGGTGGTTTCACTTATGATTAAATGATCTGGGCAGTGGCACCAAGCACAGTCCAGGAAGAGAGGACCTCCTTACCTGGTGGCCAGAACTAGGGCAAAGCAGACTCAGACCTTCAGAATGACAGGTCATTCACAGGACAAAGAGTGGTTATGCACCAAGTTCTTGGAAGCTGTCTCAGACCCCAAAAACCTGTGCCTATGTCCTTTCAGAAGACACTTTCTAGTCAGCCACTGTAACCACATGACAAAGTCAATACCTTCTCTCTGAGGTGCCGACTGCTTGTCTTCTTAGCAAACCTTTCCATGCAAAAGTTGATGTAACACTTGCACATGGCCTCTGGAAAAATCAGAGGGATTATGTTGATCAGACCAGCAATCCTTTTAGTTTAACAGTCATCGTACATCTTTTCTTTGAAGGGAAAACTCCTCTGAGGAAGAGTTTAAACTGGTTTAGTCTGGTGAAAAATATAAGTTATTCTGATTACAGCCTATCAAACATCTCAAATACTGAGGGCAAACAACTGAGTAGTGACATAAATACAAAAATTAAAAGTCTTATCCATGTCATGCACCCTTTACCTTTATTTTCCAATATTACAGAATTATCAAGTAAATCTATAATAGAAGATAATTAAGTAATGATAATGAAACAACCTTCTGAATGATCACATCCTAAGTATCATTTATTTCCCCAAATAAATGAACAAATGCCACAGCTATCGAGGAAGGTCATAAAAGAGAAAGAACAAGTTGGAAAAGCCAGGCACACTGTAAACTACCACAGAGAGGTTCCAGAAATGGATTCTGGTCATGGGAATGGAGCTTCAGGTTCATATTCAGGAACACCGTTACTCCTCAGCACACAGGGCCTGGTGAAGCTCACCTGTACGCAGAGTCTTCACCGCCTCTTCATACACAGCACAGCACCTCTCCTCCCGGCGGCCCACCTCTGCCACTTTGGTTTGTTTCGTTGTGGGCGGCTCTTCTCCTGGCTGTGACTCGATCTCTAATTCTCGGCGGGCCACATAATCCCAAGTGAGGGGGTCGTCTGTATGCAGAGCCTGAAGGCTGAAAAATACTGCCATCAACCTAGGACATAAGATTAACTCAGAACGTCAAACAGAGAGACAGTCCCAATGCTCTGAAAATGTACCCAGGACACCCCTTTAACAATTCCAGCACCAAAAGGGTCATTTCCCAACAGGCTCCCCAGATGTCTTCACCCTCACTATGTAAATGTTGTCAATGGATCAGAGCTGTCACACACTTGTTAGTTTCAGATTGTTTCAGACATCATTCACAAATGTTAACTTGTAGGTTAGCTCTCAAAGTCAAACCAGCAGGTATGTGTGACAAGATACCTGGTTCTCGAGCCCAAGAAAACCTTATCATATCTAGACTCTTGATTTTCTCTAATAGAAGGAGCCTAATCATATACCGAAACCCTAAAGGTATCCACAGAGCAAACTGATCCAAGTTCTCTCTTATCTCCTACGAAAGTAAGAGTCCTATTAAGGGTGAAGTACCCACAAGGTAGGCTGCAAATAATTCTTCAACCATATAACCAGACATTAAAAGAATAATGTCTGGGGCTTCCCTGGTGGCGCAGTGGTTAAGAATCCGCCTGCCAATGTAGGGGACACGTGTTCAAGCCCTGGTCCGGGAAGATCCCACATGCTGCGGAGCAACTAAGCCCACGCACCACAACTACTGAGCCTGTGCTCTAGAGCCCACAGGCCACAACTACTGAGGCCACGTGCCACAATTACTGAAGCCCGCACGCCTAGAGCCCGTGCTCTGCAACAAGAGAAGCCACTGCAATGAGAAGCCCGTGCACCGCAACGAAGAGTAGCCCCTGCTCGCCACAACTAGAGAAAGCCCGCACGCAGCAACGAAGACTCAATGCAGTCAAAAATAAATAAATTAAAGAAATAAATTTAAAAAAAGAATAATGTCTGATTACCTGCAGCACTCAACTATAAACATTCCTGAGTACAACTCTCATCTTAAGGACAAAAGACATGCCAGGAAAGCAGGAATATAGATTTTTATATAAGCTATGGGACATATTTCTTATTGAACAAAGGCAAACTATTTCCCAAGGGAAGCCAGTAAGTGAGTCAAACAACTTCTCCAAAAATACACTTTTTATGTATACATAAAATACTATACAATAGTCCTAAAACAGCTTTCTTCCAAGGATTTTGTATGGTATCTTCTTTCCCCCTTTCTAAATACCCAACTTCAAACCCTTACCACAAGATCAAAACAGACATATTCACTTTTCCACTATTTTACTTACTCATCATAAATTTCTCTTTGCAGATCTTTGGCAAAGTCGAATAGCTGTGCAATTGAAAGCAGTGACACATGAAATTCTGCACCTAAAATTTAAAAAGCGGGGGAGGGGAGTAAGACTCTAAAGGAGCACTTTCTTAAAGTACTGGAGTTAGTTTTGGTTTTTTTATAAAATGGGGAGTAAGATAAAACAAAAAAATCACCCACTATACAAGCAAAGTCATTATTAACATTTGAGTATTCATTAAGGACTTTATTCTAAGCATCTTTAGGACACAAAAGAATGTACTAAATCATTTACTCTTTTCAACTCCCCACATGATTTAAGTACTCAAAAACTTATTGAAATGTTCAGTTATAATCTAAGGGGAAATAAGCCTTTTCTGAAAGAATCGGGGCACTATTCCCTATAATCAGAGTTTTATACACATTCTAACAGAAATTTTCAAAATAGGCTAAAGGTTCCTCATTATAAATTGAATGTTTCACTTTCCCACCATAAATAAATTTTCAAAGGATACCTACTTTTAATTATGTTTACAGAATTTTTGTAGATGATCCTTGCCAACTCGCCCATAAGGATTTCTTCAGCATACTCGAGATTCCCCTAAAGAGTATGATATTAAACAACTGAACGGGTAATGCCAGTAAGTAGAAATAGCGCTAGAATGAAAATTAACAATCCTAGACTACCTGTGCCACATGACCTCTGGCAAATCACGTCTCTCTCTGGGCCAGTTCCCTCACTTGTAAAATGTACAGCTTGAATAAGATCACTGATCTTCCACTGTATTCTCAGGCTCCCAGAGTTGTAGCAAGATTACACGGCTTAAGGCCTCACTCTCTACCTAGACCAGAATAGGTCAAGTTTTACATGCCACGTTCACCCTTCTGTGTAAGATTTTATTTGGATAAAAAAGTTCAAAGCTGGTAACCACAATAACAGGTGATAGTGAAGTTCTTTTTTCAGCTCTAATATTCTCAAACTTGTTTCTTTAAACTTACGCTGTCACGTAAAAAATTACATAAAAAGAAAAAGAAAGAAGGCTAGGAATCACACGTTTCACAACCTTTCTTGAGCTCCTTCGACCCATTAACATATCATTTAATGAGATCATAAAGAACAGTATGTAGCCATTCCATCAGTAATAATTTCAAGGACCACTCCAATTAGTCCAAATATCTATTTTTAAAGCACAAAATTCCATTTTTATTACTAAGCCCATTTTAATTAAATCAATGCAAGACATTTAAAAGTTTCAAAATATTAAGTTGGAAAGAAAAGTACATTCTAAAGATTTTCTTTTTTATTCCCACTTTGTCTCCAAGACCTGAAACCAAGAGCCACCAGGCAGTCAGTCGCGTGGTGCTGGAACTGCTGTGGCACTGGAATGGAACCCGCCAGCCACGGGCAGACTGGCAAGTCACGAACAGTGCTCCTAAAGATCTTCTGTTACTCCTACGCAGGTTCAAAACACTATATCTTGTTAACAAGTGACAATACATTAGGATCTTACCACATCCATCTTGGCTTTTTCAAACTCTTGCTTTTCCTTCCTCAGTTTCTCAGCATGCATCAGCTCCATCCTAAAATACTAACACAGAAGGGAAATAATGAACTGAAAACCTTTGGAGATAATTTTTTAATTAGAAATGTATAACATGCTTCTTTTTACTCGTAAATATCAGATCTGGGGAAGTGTGGAGGGAGTGTTATAATCTATCTTGTTATGAAACTAGCTGACGTTGATGAGGCTTTGTTTTTTTTTTTTTTTTTTGGTCGTGCCACGTGTCTTGCAGGATCTTAGTTCCCCAACCAGGGATCGAACCCGGGTCCCCGCTGTGACCACCAGGGAATTCCCTCTCCTGAATGTTTCTATACAAACATACGGTTAACACATAATACAAAGTTGGATTTGTCCAGAATTTTTAATACTTTGAATTCTGTGTTACAAGACATATTAAAATGACAAGTTTAAAAACGATGTTTGGGCTTCCCTGGTGGCGCAGTGGTTGGGAGTCTGCCTGCCGATGCAGGGGACACGGGTTCGTGCCCCGGTCCAGGAAGATCCCACATGCCGCAGCGAGCCATGGCCGCTGAGCCTGTGCGTCCGGAGCCTGTGCTCCGCAACGGGAGAGGCCACAGCAGTGTGAGGCCCGCGTAGCACAAAAAAAAAAAAAACAATGTTTATATTCATTAACCCAAAAATTCTGCTTCCAGAAATCGATCATAAGGAAATAATCCTAAATACCTAGAAGTTTCATACACAAGGGTATAAGAGCAAATAACGCAGACAATCTAGGTGTCTAAAAGTAGGGAAAGTAAAATATATTATAAAAGAAGCAGGCTGGTGATGCGGCCATAAAACAGTTACAATAATTTAGTAATGGTGCATCACATTTCTAGTGATATTCTACTTTGTTTTTAAAGCTGGCTATAAAATTTTGCATGTAACACAATTACATTATGTAAAAAATGTGCACAGGAAAAAAGCCTATGAAGAAATGTTAATAGTATTTGTCCTCAATCAGTCACACTGTTTCCTTTTCTGTGCTTTTCTGGCTTTTTTCCCCAAGATTTTCTACAAAGTACATATTACTTTTAGAGTGTAAAATAAAAAAAAATATTTTTTTTTTAACAAATGCAACTATCAGAACAGATAATGTATATCTCAAAATGTGACTTGGAGATACCTGGAGGTTCTCAAAACCCTTTCAGAGGGTCTACAAGGTTAAAACTATTTTCATAATAGTATAACATGTTATTTGCCTTTTTCACTCTTATTCTGTCAAGAGTTTAAGGTTTTTCAGAGGCTATATGATGGGTGCTATCGCCCACAATGAATGCAAAAGCAGAGATGAGAATATAGCTTGTCTTCTATTCAGTCAGATATTCAGGAGATTAGCAAATATGTAAAATAAGGCCATTCTTCTCTTTAAACTTTGTTGCAGAAGAGTTTTTTTCATTTAAAAATAAGTAACCTATATTGACATGTAATGGGTTTATTATTTTTAAGTGAGTATTTTTGACTTCTTGGTTTTAATCTTCAATTAAATATTTAATTTTCAAATAAAAATTAACAGATAACCCACATAACGAAAGATCCTTGGGGATTTTGGTAATTTAAGATTGTAAGGGGGTCCTAAGACCAAAACGTTTGAATACCACTAATATAAATTAATATATACTAACATGGGACTATATTCGTGATGTATTTAGGTAAAAATATAGAACACAAAAATGTGTAGTAGAATCCCACTTTTCAGAACAAAGCCTGTTTTAACTATCTGTAATATGCATAAAAGTATGGGAGGTAAAATTATGAATACTTTTTCTGTTGCTTTTTTCAAAAAACTGCTGTCTCTGAACCATTTATAATAAATAAATTCTATTTACTTTTGATAAGAATAAGCAAAAAATCTATTTCAATTTTAGAAAATACAAGTCTAGGCAATTGTGAAAGCCTCCAAAAAACATAAACAATAACACCATACAATAGCACTCTAATAGCAGGGATGACTGATTCTTATAATAGTTTCTCAATAAAAATAATAAAGGCCACAAAGAACTGTCTAACAGAATATGAAGAGAAAGGACGCAAGACTATAAAATAAAACATTAAATTACTACAAAACCAAAATACAGTTGAGACAGCTACAAAACCTATTAGCTTTAAGACCCATCACACATAGGGGTCTTAATGAGGGTCTCCCTCATCACATAGGGCTTAATTTTCCTTTGACAGTTCAACAGTAGTTTCTCCCTTATTCTGACAAACACCTCAGAAAAGGGTGCAGTTTCAATAATAGGTCATTTCTAGCATTTGTCGGGGTTTTTTAAAATTAAGTCTGGCTATCATTCATTGTTCTAGTGCACCCCTCTAAGAGGGAGTAAGTCCACCAGGAGGGGAAGGAAATATCTATCTCAAGAAAACTAGATGAAGAGAATAAAAACAAAGTGGGAAAAACAGCAACGGAAGCCAAAAGAAGCAGGAAGGAGATGGGAGGGGAGAGCAGGAGAAGGGGAGGGGAATAAATGAATGAATGAATGAATACATACATACAAAGATATAAAGATGGCTGAACCCTGACCCTCAAGTAAAGAAAGGTAGGGTCCAGTTCCCTATCCCTCCCCACAGTAATGGACAGGTAGGAGTTCCAATCTCTCACTGAAAACCTGGAAGATGAGCAAAGTCAACACCTACTATTGGCCAAGAAATACCCTTCTGACCCCCTTTCCCCAGCAGCTCCCCTACTTATTCCTAGTCTCCATAAATCGAAGCCTTTTTAACTTAATAAAGTATATACATCTCCAGAGGACCAAACTAAGACATGACGCTCACCTTATGTTCACACACACTCACCTCTTGATAAAGTTTCGGGCACTCTGGATGAAAGCGCAGAGCCCGAAGAAATAGTTGTCTTGCACTTTCTGAAGACAAGCGATCTTCCATTTCCCATTTGGCCGCCATAATCCACAAGGCTGTAAGTGAAAAACATCAGACTTCATTTCAATAAAGTAATCAAGTCAGGTATGAAAAGACCAATGCTCCAATTTTGATACCCAAAGATCTTTTCTTTAAAATCTTATCAAAAGAGGAAGAGGATGGAGATAGGGAATTTCTAATGGTTATCTGTAAAGTATTGTTGCTTTATCTAAAATTTAGCGTGTTCTAAACCAAATCTGTAAATGTTAATATCTGTGGGTACTTATGTGCCCGTTACTCTATTCCATCAGATCTAAGGTCAACATCATCATTAACTCACATACAAATTTTTAATGTCTCAAAATGCTGGAAAAAATTGTGCATCTTAGAGTCAGTGAAATAAATTATTTTGCTCTTTTCTCTGTATTTAAAGTAGTTGATAGTTTTTCTCAAATGACTCAATTTTTAAAGTAAATTTTTTATTGTACCTACTGGGAGTAAAGTCTTCAAACAAACAAACAAAAAACCTTTGTCCTTCTACATAAGAAATTAACCTTGAGGTAACATTCTAGCTATCTCCCTAGAAACTTCATAAAGATCAGCAATTACCAGACACAGAGAATGGATCTGAGGACACAGGGAGGGAGAAGGGTAAGCTGGGACGAAGTGAGAGAGTGGCATGGACACATATACACTACTAAATGTAAAATAAATAGCTAGTGGGAAGCAGCCGCATAGCACAGGGAGATCAGCTCGGTGCTTTGTGTCCACCTAGAGGGGTGGGATAGGGAGGGCGGGAGGGAGACGCAAGAGGGAGGGGATATGGGGATGTAGGTATATGCATAGCTGATTCACTTTGTTATACAGCAGAAACTAACACACCATTATAAAGCAATTATACTCCAATAAAGATGTTAAAAAAAAAAAAAAAAAGATCAGCTATTACCAGGCAAGATTGCTTTTGGTAAAAATGACCCACGGTTTGTAACTGTGTCTGGACGAGGAGGGCTATGAATGGTAGACAGCCACTGCTCTGGGCTTTCTTGAGCATGTGACTCCTGAAACTGAGCACAGTTCACAGATATAATACCTGGAAGTTGCACCTATCCAGGGGTCCTCTACGCCAGTGTGGCTCCTCTGCCCACTCCCATGCTCTCATGCCCTCCCACCAAAGACAAGCCTCTGAACGGCTGACAGTACTAACGCTGTCTTGTTGTATCCTTCGGAATCAACCGGTGCCAAATGTAGCCGATTTTGAGTCTCGTGCGCTGTAAACCTAATACTCCAGAGCAGACACTGAAGCACCTTCACTATAAAATATAGTACTGTTTACACAGTGTTCACAAGAGAAGTCCTTCTCTTAACAAAACTTGAGTACCTACTCTGTGCTAATCGCTCTTGTAAAATCTATATTAATATTTTCCCCTTTATGTTTCTGAAATCCTCAGACTTGACTGCCTCCAAACAGAATTCCCCTCAAAGGACTGAAGAGTTTCTTTCACCATCAGCTAAAAAGAAACTCAGTCCTTCTTGCTCACAGATACAATACCTGGCACAGTAACTAGTTCACAGTAGCAGGGATGAACTAAGAGGCAGCTATTCAGGAATAAAAACTGCTGAGGCCAAGTTCATATGCTCAAGTTCTCAAAATAATTCTCTTAGGTTTAATCAAGCAAAATAAATTCCAAAATGGCTTGAGTCTACAAATAAGGTAGGAAAAGAACTGACAAGGATTTCACCATACCTGGCTTGTTCGAATGAATGGCCAACATGGCAGAGAATACCTTGCTAAGTTGAACTTTGGTAGCCTGTAAAAGAAGAAAAATTCTACTTCCTGCACAGCAAAGTCATTGCTATTAAACTCTAAGTGATCTGCACTGTATCCTCACCAACTATGAACTCCAATGAGGTGACATCTGCTATTGCTAAGGACATATAAACAAATACAGATTCACTCAGGGTTCTCTTCTACCTAAACCACTTAACATAAACATTTTAAATATCTAAAAAATGTTTTCAACTTTACTGAACATATATGCATAAAGACCCTTTTCTTTTCAGCTGATATGGAAGCCATTTATATAGTCATTCAAATATGCAACAGCCTTCTTGGGTTCTTTTCCCATTTGTTAACCTTACACACCTTTGGAGAAAACATGGAGTTCAGTAGAGTCAAGGATGAGGTTTAAAATGCAGACTAACCAAAAGCAGGAAAGAGGGACCAAGACAGAGCTGCCCAATACTCACCCACTTCTTACAAAAGACTACATAAGACAGCCAAAGTTGAACATCATCCTGCAAGAAAAGCAATGGAGTAAGTTGCCTGAGTTTGAATTTTATATACAATACAACTTTGCATTAATTTTGTTTGCAACAGAGGCAGATTTCAGAAAATCCAATGTGCCACATCCCTCAGCCTATTAGGCTGTTCCTTACCCGCCTTAGATCTCTTAACAACTTGTTCTGTCCCCCCACTCCCACCTACTATGATCTAAGACAAAATTTATCATCTATCCAATTTGTTCAATGCACTTCTGAAATGGTCTCAATCAGAGGCAGCAAACTAAAATTTGTCATTCCCAAGAATCCAAAGTACTTCCCATATAATATATCTCGGTCCCAGAACCAAACTTGAAGAAGACCAAGTTCTGAGGTGCTGCACCTACTCTAACCTTATCTTCCACCTCCAAGTACCCCAGCTCGGGGTACTTTATTTAGAGACATATCCAAATCCTAGACAATTTTCTGATCCTTAAATATGAATCAAATCCACTCTTTTCAGCATCATTCTCACAGGCTAACTCTAAGGTAATGCGATCAATTTTCTTAATGGTTTCGTAAGTGGTTTCAAGACATGATATTATCATTAGAATAAGTATTGAGATACCCAAGATAAGAATCCACAACCATACATTTGAATATCCATATTCATAATACGTATAATACACATCTTCACATCCCTTACAGCTACGGGCACTCTGAACACATACTTTCCACTTGGCTGACGCACGTCGGAAGACACCTTGTACCCGGTGTACGATAGAATTTTCAATCTCATCCTTCTTAAATGAATACCCAATACGCTAAAAAGGGACATTAAAAAAAAAAAAGCCTCAGTTTAATCCCATTTATCCAAAGCAGCATTCCCAGTTGATCTTTAAACAGTACTGGTAGAGAAAGCAAATAATTACAAGTATCATTATGAGCGCACCGCCACACAATTATCAATGCCAACTACTTCCCAAACCCAAGTTCTAGCTTTGCAGTCACACTATTTAATTCTATATATTTTTCCAACTTCCAGAAAATCATCTACTTACAACTCGTCTTCGCTGGATCAGTTCCAAAAGATTGATTTCATACTATGAAAGAAAAACATACAAAAAAAGAGAAAACAAGAAAAAGTATAACTTTTTATATAGAGGAGGTGCATTTAGTCAAAATCATAAAGTAAATAAAGATCAAGAACACAAAACAGAAAATAATTTGCTATCAAGAAACCTAATTTACAGTAAATGTCTAGCATTCACTAAAAATTCACCTTACATCTGCAAAACTCAAAAATACATACATTAGCATGCATCTAAACATCTTAGATACAAAGAAAGCACGTTACTAAAACTCTAAGACTTCTAAGATTTACAATATCAATCTAACTTCCTCGTCTACAACGGTGTGTTCAGACTTTTAGGAAACTAACCATTCAAAAATTTTAGCTGACGCACAAGCAAATAAAGCAGATAAACAGGGTTGTACTAGCTGAAACAGGGCACCTAACTGGCTCTCCCTACCCTTGCCTCCAAAGGACCACTGAGAACCTCTAAGACTCTCCAAAAACCACTACTATATAATTCTTCTCTAAGCTTGAAGACTACTAGAGACAGAAGGCACAGAACCTTACAAGATCGCCTGCTTCATTTTAAAACTGTCTTATGAAATATTTGAAGCATACAGAACACCCATGCAGCTACCACACAGCTATGTCAAAGCCTACATTTTACTATATTTGATTCAAAACGTTTTTAGAAATAAAACATTTCAAATAAAGGCAAAGCGCCCCATGTCTGATTCCACCCTTCTCCCTCTCCAGAGGAAATGATGATCTTGACTCAGGTGTTTATCGTTCACAAGCATGACTTCAAACTTCATTATAATGTTGTCTTGAATGCTTTTAAACTTTATACAACTGGTATCATACTGAATGAACCCATCACTCCATATTTTTACTGAACATTTTGACTTTAGATATATCCCTGCTGTCATGTAGAATTCAAGTCCATTCATTTTAACTGCTGTATAGCATTTCATTATATGAACGTGCAATTTACCTATCCTTCCTCCTGTGATGCGTATTTGTTTCCAATTTTTCTATTACAAAAAGCTGCAATTAATATTCTTGTACACATCTTCTTGTGGATATATCCAGGAACTTTACCACTAACATGTAAGCTCGTCAAGAACATGATTTCTGTCTGCTTAATTTATTGTTCTACCCCATCAGTGTCATGTACATAACAGGTACTCAATATACACTGTATGACTGAATGAATGGAATTGCTGGGTCACACAGTACATGCATCTTCAACTTCATGGGATATTGCCAAATTGCTCTTGAAAGTGGTGGGACAAATTATATGCTGATACTGTCAGTCTTTAAAACGTTTATTAATATGATGGGTATAAAGTAGTACTGCACCCTGGTTTTAATCAATACTTACCTGATTACTAATGAGGCTAACATCTTTTCAAAAGTTTACCAATGACTGATGTTTCCCCTTTGTGAACTGCATGTACCTATTTCTCCAGTTGTTTTCATTTTCTTTCCACTTGTTTGTCATTTCTTCTTGATTTGTAGTTTTTTACATATTCTAGATTCTGACTATATATGTTGCAAATATTTTCTCTCATTCTGTGGCTTATCTTTTTACATTATTTACGATGTCTATTTTGCACAGAAATTTTTACCTTTAACATAGTCAAATCAATCTTCTCTTTCATGGTTTGTGCTTTCACAGTCTTCTTCATTTTAAGAAACTTTTCCCTACCAGAATGTAAACTGGTACAGCCACTATGGAAAACAGTATAGAGTTTCCTTAAAAAACTAAAAACATAGAGTTGCCACATGATCCAGCAATCCCACTCCTGGGCATACATCCAGAAAACTATAATTCGAAAAGATACATGCACCCCAGTGTTCCTAGCAGCACTATTTACTATTTACCAAGACATGGAAGCAACCTAAATGTCCATCAACAGATGAATGGATAAAGAAGATATGCTATATATATGTAATGGAATACTACTCAGCCATAAAAAAGAATAAAATAATGCCATTTGCAGCAACATGGATGGACCCAGAGATTATCACAGTAAGGGAAGTAAGTCAGAAAGAGAAAGACAAATACCATATGATATCACTTATATGCGGAATCTAAAATATGACACAAATGAACTTACTAACAGATCAGAAACAGACCCAAAGACATAGAAAACAAACTCAGGTTACCAAAAGGGAAACAGGATGGAGGAGGGATAAGTTAGGAGTTTGGGATTAGCAGATACAAACTACTATATATAAAATAGATAAACAACAAGATCCTACTGTATAGCACAGGGAACTACATTCAGTATCCTGAAATAACCCATAATAGAAAAGAATATGAAAAATATGTATACATATGGATAGCTGAATCACTTTGCTGTCCACCAGAAACTAACACAACATTGTAATTCAACTATACTTCAATTTAGAAAAAAAAAAAACCTTTCCCTACCTGAAGTCATTCATATTTTTTTGTAGAAGATTTAGTTTTCCCACATTTATCTATTCAATTCCATAGGAATTTATTTTTGCATGAGGAAGGGATCTAATTTTATGTTTTCAATGTGGATAATCAGAATCTCAATATAAAATGCCACTTATGTCTCATAGCAAGTATATATGGTTGTGTGCAGGCAGAGGGGGTATACATGTAAGAGAGGTGTGTATGTGAGTTTTTATATCAACTTATTTCAATTTGTGCTCTAAAACTAAACAAATCAACCTATTCCACACATAGCTCTTCAAATATATGAAGAGTGAAATTATTTGCCACTTCTTAAGTCTCCCTAAGGTTATACATCTCCATTTCCTTCAATGATTCCTCCCAGAACAAGGTTTACGTCCTGGCTGCCTTCTAACTAAAGTCTTCTTAAAATGTCAAAGTCCTTCTTAAAATGTCATCCTGAGCTGACAATGCTCCAGACATAGTCTGACAAATGCAAAATATTTTTTCAAACCAACGTCTTCTGAGTGCCTACTGTTTGCAACCTCCTCTGCTCAGCTAACTTACCCAACACTCTACTTCTGTTCATGTAATCACTTAGATTATATGTTTTGACATGACATACTTCTTGATCTATTTTGATATAGCAATCTACTGAGCTTTAGGACCTCCTTCAAATACAAGATTCTTAGCCAGGTCTCATACATTGTTCATTCAGTAGGTTTTTTTAAAAGCTAAACTTAGAACCTTTTATAATGTTTATATTAGTGTTAAAGTATAAGATTTATTTGTTTTGGTTTTTAATTTTATTTATTTATTGGCTGCGTTGGGTCTTCGTTGCTGCACGCGGGCTTTCTCTAGTTGTGGAGAGCAGGGGCTACTCTACATTGCGGTGTGTGGGCTTCTAATTGCAGTGGCTTCTCTTGTTGTGGAGCACGGGCTCTAGGCGCGCGGGCTGCGGTAGTTGTGGCACACAGGCTCTAGAGAGCAGGCTCAGTAGTTGTGGAGCACGGGCTTAGTTGCTCCGCGGCATGTGGGAACTTCCCGGAGCAGGGCTCGAACCCGTGTCCCCTGCATTGGCAGGCAGACTCTTAACCACTGCGCCACCAGGGAAGTCCCAAAGTAGAGGATTTATAACATCTTATTATTGGATTCTTTCTGAATCCTGATTTTATCATCCAACACATTATTCTCTCCCACTGAAAACTGATCTAGCATGTGTGTGTGTGTGTGTATATATATATATATTTTTTTTTTGGGGGGGGTGCTGCGTTGGGTCTTCGTTGCTTGTGCATGGGCATTCTCTAGTTGTGGCATGCAAGCTCTAGAGTGCAGGCTCAGTAGTTGTGGCGCACGGGCTTAGCTGCCCCATGGCACGTGGGATCTTCCCAGACCAGGGATCGAACCTGTGTCCCCTGCATTGGTAGGCGGATTCTTAACCACTGGACCACCAGGGAAGTCCCAAGCATGTATATTTTATCTTCAATCAAATCTTCCATTCATTTACAGGACTGAAGAATCTTGCAGCGTACCTCACCTCTCTCTAAATCGACAGACCTCAGGCACATAAGCATTAACTTCCTAACCATGTGCTATCATCAAACTCACTTTCCTTTATTTTTCCCCACAAGACATAATTGATCAAACCTCTTGCTGAAATCCTGATACACTGGGTCTTTGGCAGACTCTGATCTACTAACCCGATAGAAGAAAAAAATGTTCAGTTTGCCAAGGACCAAAGCCTTAGTGGAGAAACACTATTACCAAATTACCTCTATTCCTGTTCAAAAATTACCTGTCTAATCATCAGTTCCAGAATTTTGTAGGAAACTGACATCAAGCTCACTATTCCATAACTGATTTTACATTTGTGAGGGGATTAAAAAGTAATAAAATTATTCACTTACTTGAACATAATTGATAAAGTCTTCCTTAAAAAGAGTTCTTCGCTGTATTCTGTATTCTAGATCTGAAGCCTTTTTAATGATAGCCCTAAGGAGAAAGCCATTTAAAATGTAACACTTGAAACAAGAAGTTAAATAAATAACTTTGGAATTTTTAAAGTTTATTTTTAATATATTTGAAACATCTATTTGCCAAAATATATAATTCCCAAATAATTATCCTTCATAAGCAAGTACATATTTTCTTTTTATAAATTTATTTATTTTTATTTTTGGCTGCATTGGGTCTTCGTTGCTGCCTGTGAGCTTTCTCTAGTTGTGGTGAGTGGGGTCTACTCTTCCCTGCTGTGCAGGGGCTTCTCATTGCGGTGGCTTCTCTTGTTGTGGAGCATGGGCTCTAGGCACGCAGGCTTCAGTAGTTGTGGCTCACAGACTCTAGAGCGCAGGCTCAGTAGTTGTGGAGCACGGGCTTAGCTGCTCCACGGCATGTGGGAACTTCCTGGACCAGGGCTCGAACCCGTATCCCCTGCATTGGCAGGCAGATTCTTAACCACTGCACCACCAGGGAAGTCCCCGTATTCTCTTACATAATTACCTCTGTGTTCTTTTTTATTATTATTATAAAGTATAGTTGATTTACAATATACTAGTTTCAGGACTTCTGTGGTCTTAAGGGCATGAAGATGTACCTTAAAACTTTCATGAAAATCACGTCAATCGATTGCCAGGACCACTGACATTCCCACCAGCAAAGTAAATAATGTTAAGTAGTACTTTACATTATTTATATGTGGTATTAGTAGAGATTTCTTTTCCTCCAAATTCAAGTCAATTGGGTTTTAATAATAATCAAATTTCTTTCCTAAATTCCTCTTATTTCTGAATTTTCAACAGGTAGATTTAAAAAAAAAAAAACCTAGATTGTCTCTACCTATATCACTACTGCAAAGGGCTTATGGGAGAAGACTCACTGTATTTAGGTAAGGGATGAACTAAATAGAGTCCACTCTTATTAAAGAGTCCACAGTATGTTGCGTTTCATAAACAAATGTTTACTTTAAGGTTCCCATAGCCACAGTACTACATTCGCAGTCATTGTAAAATGAAGAAATAGTCACAGTAAACTATTAAAAACTATTATACAAATTAATGAGTAACAACTATATACTAGTTGTTGGCGAAGCCCTGGGGTAAAATATAAAATCGAATTAAATGATCCCCATCTTCAAGTCTTGTTAGAATTATCTACTCCTCCTGGGCTCCCACGGCTCTCTGCTCACATCTCTAGGGCAGTACTCTACTACAATCAACTTACAGTACGCTGCACTGTGATCAAAATGTTTCACTTGTCTGTCTCCCCCACCATACTGTGTCAGGGCACCTAGCTCTTGACGGGCGGGTATCCTGGTTTTATCCCCTTTATAGCCTCAAAACCTCCTCCATGAAGAGCTGTCTGTATGTTTGAGGGGTAAATGGACGGATCACCTTGCAATGAATGAGAAATTAATTCTGGGCATCATCAGAATCTGGAAATGGGCTTCTACCACATTAGAAAATATAAACACAACCCAAGTGCCCCCTATCCCTGCCCCCCGCCACACACACGCCCCAGCCTCCCCTCTCTACCCGCCCCAGCCCTTCCTCTTCCTCCGCTCTCTCACTTAATCTCCGCACGACTGAACAGTCCAATGCGCTCCAGCTGTTGCAATTCGGGGAGTCGATCCTCTATGCGTTCCTGAATTATCTCCGCCATGAGGTCGAACTCTACAACCCGGCAGAGACCTTCTCACAGCCAACACGCGCAGGAAGCGCCCCCTCTCTATCCCGGGGACCCGGCCTTGACGCTCGCACGTGCTGACGTAACGTGCGCCCCAGGTCCCGCCTTTTCCGCTTCCGCCGCCTGGCCCTTGGACAGGGAGCCCTGGCTCTTGCAGCCGCTGTCTCCCCCTGGCGACTGACTGTGGGTTTGCAGCGAGCACCGCCCCCCTTCTCTGGAGGACTCAAGAGGACGGGAGTCGAGGGGTGGGGCCAGGATGGGGGCGGGGCTCAGTGCGCGGGATCTGGGATCGCGAAAATCACCTCGGGTCTAGAGGGGTTACCTGAAAGGGGCGTGAAATGCATTTTCTGCAAGATATTATCTCCTTTTATTCTGATTTCCAACACCAAGAACCAAAATACAACCAAACCGGGACTTCCCTGGTGGCACAGTGGTTAAGAAGCTGCGCTCCCAATGCAGGGGACCTAGGTTCCATCTCTGGTCAGGGAACTAGATCCCACGTGCGTGCCGCAACTAAGAGTTTGCATGTCACAACTAAGGAGCCCGCAAGCCACAACAAAGACCCAGCGCAAATAAATAAATAAATAAATACTTTTTAAAAAATACAAACAAACCGAGGGGAAAGGATAGAGGATATCGTAAAATTATAGTAAACATTTCAATGAGGCGTAATGAAAATTGTAGGGGGTGCTAAAATGGATCAGGCTGTCCCAAACACTATGTCTTTGCTTTCAACTAGATTTAGTAAACCAGTGTGATACTGGTTTTCCATGTGCCAATTAGACGGCTGGTTAATTTTTAAATGGGGAGACATTTTTATTACTTAAAACACTATACTGGCTTTGTAGATGCAGTCTTTCAAAATACGGCCCTGGGTGGGTATCAGAAACTGTATTTTTTTTAGAAGAGGGAATCTTGGTATTGAAAAGTTTGGGAGTTACCCAAAGAAGAATCAATAAGATATAGACCCTCCTTAAACCTTTGCCCAAGCAACTTAGCATTTCTAAGAGAACCGTCAGACAACCGAGCTTGAAAGCGACATTGCTGGTGTAATTACTAAACCTAAAATATTAACTACATGGTTCAGTTTTTTTTAAGTCCTGGAAGATGATTTAAAAAACCAAAGCTGGAGTTCTTGCTAGACCTGTTTACTTCAACATTGGCATTAGCACCTTGATCCTCCGTGTGATTTATTAAAGAAGAATATATGCTTAGCAAGAGTTCCACCCTTGACCCTTGTGCCTTTCCTTTCCACTGGTCTCAGAATTTAGGCTAAGGTTGGCTTGATTCTTGATCCCCTCAGCTCTAAGACATGAGGGAAGTGGATGTAAAACAAAGATGGAATTTCTTTGTAATAGGAAAGTCTTTAGGGGCCTGTGTTAACAGTAAGAGCAGGAATGCCACTAGAAAGTAAGGTCCATATGGGCAGGTGATTTTTGTTTGTTTTGTCTACTTCGATACCTGGGCACTTAGAACAACGCCTAAAATATAATAAGCACTCAATTAGTAAATTCATGACAGAATAAGAAAATGTACTAAATATTCTTTAGGTCCAAAGGAGTCAGCAAGCTCTGAGAGATTGTAATCTTTCCTTTCAAGGCAAATTTGATGGATAACTACATCAAATCAACCCAACTATAAACACTTTCCTCCCTTATTTTCAAATTTAGCTTCTATGCTTATCTTGCTCTAGGAATTATCATAACGGTAATGGCAAAGCCTTCTTGTGTCTCTTCTGTATCTCATAATAATAGCTATCACTTATTTTGGACTTACTATGTGCCCAGCTCCTATGTGCACTGTTCTAAGTTTCTCATATATTAACTCTTCTATTCCTATCACAAACATTTTAAAATATCAACACAAGAAGGAGCTCTTGAGGAGGTAAAAAGCACCTAATAGAGAAAGACCAATACAGCAGAAGAAACTGTGTTTGCATAATGGCCACTGGGTCTCAGAATCCTTAGCTGAGCACACCTTCTAAGTAAGGAACCCAAGGGCCTGAGAAAAAGTGCTCTTGAGTCTGGAGTTCTAAGGTGTACCTCAGAAAGCTTGACATATCTTTAGTCTTTTATTTGACCTTTAAAATTCACCATAGATGTCAGATTAGTAAGCAGGTACAGACTGGTAGGGGGCACAAGGGAGCCTTCTGGGTGCTGGAAATTTCTATATCTGATCTAGGTGGCCATTATATGAATGTATACGTATATAAAAATCCATCCATTGAGGTATACACTTAAGATTCATGCACTTGGGGCTTCCCTGGTTGCTCAGTGGTTAAGAATCCGCCTGTCAATGCAGGGGATACGTGTTTGAGCCCTGGTCCGGGAAGATCCCACATGCTGCAGAGCAACTAAGCCTGTGCGTCACAACTACTGAGCCTGCGCTCTAGAGCCTGCGAGCCACAACTACTGAAGCCCACGTGCCACAGCTACTGAAGCCCACGCACCTAGAGCCCATGCTCCACATCAAGAGAAGCCACCGCAATGAGAAGCCCGCGCACCGCAACGAAGAGGAGCCCCCGCTTGCCGCAACTAAAAGAAAGCCCGTGTGCAGCAACAAGGACCCAACGCAGCCAAAACTAAAATTAATTAACTAATTTTTTTTAAGTTATAAAAATTATTTTTAAAAGATTCGTGCATTTTATGAAAATTATACTTTAAAAGAAAAAATTAATGACCAGCTCTCTCTTTGAGGATATTGTTCTCTTCAAGAGCTTCAACTATTATTTTTAGGAGTGTGGCAGGGTCAAAATACTGAAACATGAAAGACCAAAGCCTTCTCCCTCTCTGAAAGAGTTCATCTGAACTTTGCATTCTAGCCCACAATAGATTAGTATTTGTTCGAATACAAATTATTGTGGGTTTTTCCCCAGCTTGTCAAGTAAGATTAATCCCAGAAAGATGTACCCTGCTCACCCCACGTTAGAGAAACACTTGGCCCCATTGCAATGCTCGCAAGACAGTTTGGAAAATAGTTAAGAGGGGTCTCAGTTAGGGTCCCAAGACAATCTTTTAAGGAGTCTGGCAGATGAACAGTAACCAGATGTTTGCAAATCAAGTTAAAATTTCTATTATGGCCCTCAAATTATTTAAATGTTAATTTCAAAGTAAACTTGAACTCTTCCCTAGAGTATTCATTGTCACGTCTGAAGATTAAGTTCACCAACAGCTCAGTGGTTAAAAACAGCAGAAAAGGGAATTCCTTGGCAGTCCAGTGGTTAGGACTCGGCACTTTCACTGCTGGGGCCTGGGTTCAACCCCTGGTTGGGAAACTAAGATCCTAGAAGCCGCATGATGCAGCCAAAAAAAACAACAACAACAGCAGAAAAAGAAACATTCCTCTCTTTTTTTCATTATTATTATTGTTATTATTATTAGGTAAAGAGAAGTACCTAATTTCAGTGATAATGAGAGGAGAGACACCTGGAATCCCATCCGCCTACCTTGTTCAAAGTCCCCTGTCTGCTTCTCCCACACAGAGAACCCTGGTAGACTTCAAAGTCAGAGCAGAAGTGATAGACAAGAGTCTGGTCTTTGATGCCTAAGAACATCGTATCCCTCAGTTTGATGTGAATGCAAAGTATCTGTACCTTTCAAACCTTTCATGTTACCTCACGTTGCTAACAACAAAGCTGAAAAGTTTGAGGTGACACACATTAAAATATTTGCAACCAGGAACTTTTCATTTCTTTTTCTATCATATATAGCTTCTTTTACTTTGTGAACCACACTGGATAGTAAATTACTTCTGGCACGCAGCCTTGTCAGCTTGCCAAATTTCAACCGGAGCAAGTTTTTACAGCCGGGCTAATAAGCCCTGAAAATTAGGAGGTAAGTATAATGGAAATAATGACATGGTCTTTAACTGCAGGAGCCTAGAATGACAACGTGAGAGTCTAATAGATTCTACTTTTCAAAGTTTTTTTTTTTATTCTAGTGAAGTCCTTTTTAAAAATTTTAGGTTCTTCAAGTTCAAAACACATGTAAATGGAGTTTCTTTTAATTGGTGAAAAGCATTTTTGTGGGTTTTTTCCCCTGTGGCTTAAGTTATTGCTTTTTGCAAACTCGAAAAAAACAAAAACAAAAAGAAAACCAAGAGTATGGTAGTTTGAGGATAACAACCTACTACTATTAAAACGAACTAACATCTTGAAAAAACATGTTCGGAAATCATTGGCTTCCAGGATGGGGCCTGGCGATTGTTTGTATATGAAAACATTTCATCAAAACCATAGCTGATTAGTTAACATCAACTTTTTTTCAGTTTGCCCCCAATCCAGATAGAAACCCCAGTCCCTGCTAAGTAACTTTCAGGTCATTACGGAACAAATCTTCAAAAGATAGAAAATTAATATCACATTTAATTTTTATCGCTGAAAGAAACAGGTAGTATCTATTGCAAGGTAGTATCCATTTCTCTCAATTTAATTCTTACATCCGTTCCCCTTTACAGTTTACAAATGACAAGGAAAATTCTTTTTCCCCTTCTCGTTCTGCCCTCCAGTTAGACCTGGACTGATTAGCTTCAGCATCCCATGCTCAGTCCCAAACTGTTTAAGCAAAGAAGAGGTCTGGAGTTGTACGTGTTTCTTTTTAACTATACTAAAATAATATGGCCTTGCTCCAAAACTGCAGCTCTCTTATAGTTCCGCAACTATACTGGGCTGTTTTATACTTCTACTAACACCCACTATTCCCTGTGCCTGGGATGTCTTTGTCCCCTTATCCACTTGGCAAATTTAGTTCATGAAAAAAAAAAAAGGAAGCCTGCCCTTAATGCCCCGCCATCCCATCATCACCACCGATTTGTGTACTTATGTATATACATTTATATAAAGGGCTCAGTCTTCCTGTTTCGTTTTATTTTGTTTTGTTTTGGGCTACACCGTGAGGTTGGGGGATCTTAGCTCCTTGACCAGGGATTGAACCCAGGCTCCAGCAGTGAAAGTGCCAAGTCCTAACCACTGGACCGCAGGGAATTCTACTAAAGAGTTCAGTCTTTGAATCTCTTTTTCTCCATTCTCACTAATTATCTAGGTCCATAAACAAGAAATTTATCCAGGTCCGTAACATCAGATGTCATCTTT